ATCAGCCCAAACACTTGCTCACATTGCATCTGTGAGGGTTTGCAGAACATCAGTTCCAGTGGCAGTGGCAACAGGTCTCATTTCACAAACAGATCAGAGCATACCTAGTTAAAAGGCCAGGGACCAAACACTGCTCACAATAGGCAAAGCGAGCCTCTGCAGATGACTGGCCTGATAGATAAAGCAGCCAGGACAAAACAGCAAAGCACACATACCCTGGAGATTCTCTCAAAAGTGCCAGACTCTGAGGAACAAGGGATGCTACACAGCAGGGCAATACAGGACCTCTTCTTCATAAGGCCCATTACCCTCAAAAACAGCAGACATAGTTGACTTTCCTAACACACAGAAACAGGCACAGAAACTTAGAAAAAATGAGAAGACAGATAAATTTATCCCAAATTAAAGAAAAGGACAGGGCCACAGCCAGAGATTTAAGTGAAACAGATATAAGTAACATGCCTGATAGAGAATTTAAAATAATGATCATAAGGAGATTCCCCGGACTTGAGAAAAGAGTAAAAGACATGAGTGAGACCCTTAACACAGAGATAAGGAACATGAAGCAGAGATAAAAGGCTCTGTAAGTGAAATGAGAAACATGCTTGATGGAATTAACAGCAGGCTGGAAGAAGCAGAGGAACAAATTAATGACCTAAAAGACAGAGTAATAGAAGGTCATCAAGCTGAACAAAAGAGAGAAAAAAGAATTATGCAAAAGGAGAATAGACTTAGGGAACTCAGTGACTCCCTCAAACATAATAACATTCATATTACAGGAGTCTCAGAAGAAGAAGAGAGAGACAAGGGAGCAGAAAATTTATTTGAAGAAATAATAGCTGAAAACTTGCCTAACCTGGGGAAGGAAACAGATATCCAGATCCAGGAGGCATGGAGAACCCCTATCAAAATCAACAAAACAGATCCACACCAAGACATTGTAATCAAACTGGCAAAATATAGTGATAAAGAAAAAAATTTAAAAGCATGAAGACAAAAGAGGACAGTAACATACAAGGGAAAACCCATAAGGGTAGCAGGGTTTTTTTTCTACCATTGAAACAATGTGACATTTGTGTAGGAACAGACAATCATTCAAGTGGAATAGAAAACAAAATCCAGACATAGGCCAAAGAAACAAGAAAATTTAGTATTTGTTGAGGTAGCTTTAAAACGACTAAAGTAAAGACCAATTGCTTAACAAATAGTCCTGGAACAACTGATAACCCATTTAGAAAAAGACAAAATTAAATATATATATCACAACATTCAAAATTTTAAAAAAAGTTCCAAGGAATCTGCTCAAGTTACTTAGGCTGCTATCATTCAGAAGTACTAATCCCAAAAGTATGTTATTTTTCAGATATCAACTTAAACATTTTACCACCCAATAATTAAGAAATGTTATCACAGAAGTATAAAAAGTAGGTGTCATCATTTTGGCTCCTAATAGAATTACTTTTACTGAATTGTACTTTGGTATTATGACATCAGTCTGAAAGATGGAAATCACACAATACCATGAACTGCTGCCCTTCTTTTGAACTATTAATGTGTTTTTTATACAAGGGAGAAGAGAGTCATGTAACTGATCATGTGTCACTGTTTTGGCCAGTAGGAAGTCCAGACTAAAATTTACAAAACAGTTCCAAAAAAAATGTACAGGACTTTGTGGCTATATATTGAGAAAAGACAGTTTTTCAATCTCAGCTGAGTTCTTTATTTTTTTTAACATTATTTATTTATTTATTTATTTATTTATTTATTTATTTATTTGTCAGAGAGAGAGAGAGCGCAGCAGGGGGAACAGCAGGCAAAGGGAGAAACAGGCTCCCCAATGAGCAGGGAGCCTGATGTGGGACTCGATTCCAGGACCGTGGGACCATGACCTGAGCCGAAGGCAGACACTTAACCAACTAAGCCACCCAGGCATCCCCTCAGCTGAGTTCTTAATACCACTCAGAAATTATTTTATAAGTCTTCAGTCACTCCCCCACTTACTCTTCACAGATCTCCTCAAGCACCCTCTTTCCACATGCCCACAGTCCTCTAACTCTTGGGATTGTCTCCTACTTATAGAGAAAACAAAATCTACTTATTTCTCCTCCTTAACTTCTCCCTTTGAAACAAATCCCTATACTTGTGCTATGCACAACTCATTTATTCTTGATCTTTTTTGCTTTTTAGAGAAATGTGAATTTCTCCCCAGGTGTTGCTTAAGTCCAACACTCAAATTTTTATAGTGATTTGTTCTCATCCAGTTCTAAATATTTTCTAATTTCCACTGCGGTTTTTTTTTTTCTTTTTTTTATGTTTTTACATTACCAAAGTTTATCTTACAGCTCTTATATTGTTAATTTAAAACTTAATTGCACTGTAGTTAGAAAATGTATCCTTCTGGGGGTGAGTGTCCAGGTGTGGTATTTTCGAACCTTATTTCATATACTCTCCCTAAATGATTTCATCTGTTATAACTGCTTCAAATAATACCTCTATGTGGATGATTACAAATGTTTATCTCTAGTCCTATTCTCTTCTGAGTTTTAGGCCTATAGTTTTCTATAGACTTATCAGGTTAATTTCTTGTATGTCCAACAGACACTGCAACCCTAACAAATTCAAAACCAAAGCATTATGTCTACCACCCCTCTGAAAATCTTCTTCCTTCTCCCTTTTTATTCTCTATTTTTAGAATGGTGATCCCACATTCTACCCAACTCTTCAAACAAGAAACATCAAAATTGTCTCTTATTCCCGTCTTACACAAAGTAAATGAACTGGAGTGGTTCAAGTGCTGTGAATTCTATATCCTAATTATTTCTGGAAGCCGTCCTTTCTTCTCAATTGTAACAGGCCCTCATCATTTAGAGCCTGGCCTTGCATCATCCTCCTAAATAGTGTTTAATTAATTTTGTCACCTCTCCCTCTCTCCTTCTCTTTTACCGTTTTGCTCTTGCTACCACACGTGTTGAAAACACAAGTCTGATCATTTCATTCCCTTGCTTAAAAATCTTTGATCACTGCCTAAATAAAGTCTAAATTTAACACAATATATAAAACCCCTTATTCTGAGAAAATTTATCTACTGTGCAAGTAGAAACTTCTCAGGCTTTATATAATATTAAACATACTATTGTAAATTCTTGGACCTGCAACTCTATCAAAAGTCTAATGTGATGGTATTAAGGAGGGCACGTATTGCGTGAAGCACTGGGTGTCATATGCAAACAATGAATCATGGAACACTACCTCAAAAACTAATGATGTACTGTACAGTGACTAACATAACATACGTAACATAAAAAAAAGTCTAATGTTGAGAAGGAGTTGGATACAAGTGTTGCCTCATATATAACTGCCTACACATTATACTTTTATGATTAAAAAAACTTAAGATCTTTAGACCACTTTTCCAAAACAACCTTGTACCAATTACATGAATACAGGTTACATCTTTGGCCCAATGAAAACATTTAATGCAGGGGAGCAGGAGGAGTGGGCACAGTCTGACAAGGCTGGAGCTCAGGACCTTGTGTTAGCAGTACAGAAATCAAATACAATGAGACAATGTTTTGAATGATGACTGCAAATCATAAAATCTCAAAGGCAACAGAGAAAAAAGAAACATCTTTGGAAGACCAAGTATTAAGTAAAAACATGGCCCATGCATCCTTTAACCTGGCTTTAGGAAAAAAGGAGAAAATGATCCCAATTATCTGTAAATGATACAGATAATTAGGAGGTGACACATTCCTCCCTAGCACGCATCCTATCTGTAACTAAAGTTACAACAGAACAACCCATGTTCATAATAATAACCTTTAAAGATAATAAAAGATAAATTAGGTTCTGTATCCTCAGTATGAGAAGACAGGTATATAGAATTAATTTCAAGAAGGTTTTCATGAAAAAATTATTAAAAGCATACAGGCTTACAGAAGATATAAACTTATATTAATGTGTTAATTACTATTTTAATTATCTGTTAATAATTGCTTCCAATTACTCAAAACAATTTCCTTCTTCCCAGAATGCTGACATCGATATATTGCTGTATTTTATCTCCTACTATGTCTTTATTAATAAAACTAGGTACAATATAGTGTTTTAGATTTTTGAACTACCAATATCCAGTGTGTTTTTAAATGAGACAACAAGAAATAGGCATTTGCTGAAGAAATTAGCCAACCCTGAAAGAGAGATGCGGGGTAAGAAGTAGATTTTATGGTTTACAAAGAGAGGGAGAAAGCATCAGTACAGTGTTATTTCTAGAAATTCTGCCTACTGCTTTGACATTGTTTATTGTTCTGATTTATTTATTCTGAAGCCAAACTCATTTTTTCAGCTTTACTGCTGTTTCTATGATTCTGAATTAGATGTGTATGTGTATTTATATGTGTATGTACATATTTTTTGGCTTATGTTTCTGAACTAGAGTGAGCTTCAGAATCTTTATCTCCATGTGGTATATATCTTTGACTCATAAAATGATTTTTAAAAAACTCAAATGTTTCATGTTAGAAGCTTGTGTTCTATGTGAATTTGCAGGGGAAAAAAAGACACTCTACATCAAGTACTCAGCCAAAGTCAAATTTCAAAGAATAAACAAGCAAATTTGATATATGTACTCTAGACTTAATTGTATTTATTCTAGAATATGAGATCTAAATGATATATGCATACAGCAAAATTAAAAATTCAGTGCAGTTTATCCTGAAATTTGATTTCATGCCCCAAGTATGTGTTATTAATAGTCGTGCCAACCAAATAAGTCAGCTGTGATCTAATCAGGACTATAATGTGGCTAATACCTTTCTGTTTCCTCGGGATCACTGTTGCATACCTTTTAATATAGGAGAAAAGATTTAGTCCAAACTATTCACAAAGATGTGAATTTTAACGAGAATCTTTCTTAAGCCTGTTATGTAAAAACATGCTTTACAATCAAGTTTAATTTTTACTTTTGTTTCAAATTTATTATCTTCCAACCAACATTTTACCTCTGGTCCTGGAGGGCCATATGGTCCTTGGGGTCCTGGGTCACCTATCTGGCCCTAAAATGGGGGTGGGGATCAAAGTATAAGTATTAATCTGATATATACAATTTAAAACAGAAACAGACATATGGTAAGCAAAAAGAACTCAATGTATTATGCCACACAAAATTATAACGACTTTTCAGCAAACAACAATGAATATATTATGTCAAACAAAGTTGTAACTATCATTCAGAAAGACTTACTTTGTAACCATCATCACTGTGGAAAACTCATTTAAATAAAAGATGTATGGAGTAATATATAGTTACTCCTAAGTGTTGGAGATACAAACAAATTGAGTTAAGCGCTCAAGTCAAGAAAAAAGTAGTGTGTGTATGTGTAGGTTAACCAGAGATAAGGCAATAAAGTTTGACTCAACAAGATAGGGGACTCTAGAGGAGGAACTGCTTTCATAAACAACCAGAGTCCGGGACTGTCCCTGAAAATTCCTCTCTCCTTTGATACTACAAGAGGCCTGGTTTAGTAATTAAGAATCATCTGGATTTAAGTCCCTGCTGCTTAATCTCTCTTAGGCTCAGTTCTCTTAACAATAAAATAGGAATAATAGTGATAACAAGTACTAACATTGTTACAGGGTAATTGTGAGGATTAAAGGAGACAATATATTTAAGGTGCTTAGTTTAGCACAGTGTCTGGCAATAAATGTTAACCAATTTTATAACCATTAATCTTTCCCTTTATATCCTCTGTCCTCTCCTGGGTACCTATAATTCCTAGATGTTTTGATCATTGTATTAAAATGTTGAGGATTTATTGTCAATATTTCTGAAGCCATTTTCTGACATCTGGATTAACCATGTGAAATCAGGGTTGGAGAGGAAGTTCAGAGGAGAGAAAAGTGGTTATAAAGCCTGAAACTAGAGATGAAAGGAGGCAGTAGTCTGATACCCTTGCTTTCATAAGAAAAATTACTGAATTCATTATTTCTGTCATATTAAATTTCTATGTGAGTTTCAAATTTGACCTATTGGTCTCAGATTACATAAAATTACAAGAAATAATGTGTGCTTATCCATGTTTCAACAAGTAAAGGACAGTTTTCCATAAGCACTAAAGTCATTCTCATACAATGCTTAAGTATCTGGGTATCTGGATACAAAACAGTACACAGTAGAACTACTGCAATGAAATCCAGAGAAAAGTAATGAAGTATTATATAAAACTTGATTTAGGTTCTCCTAAATAAAGTCATAATTCATCATAATCAGTATCTAGAGGAGTCTTAAATTCTTTAAAATGGCAAGTACCTCTCTTAAAGAGATAAAGATGGGGCTCTCACTGGAGACCTCTGGTGGCCAAAAAACAAATGAGAAGCTAAATTTACAAGCTTTGAGGAAAAAATAGCATACTCTATGTCTTTGTTTTCAGAAAAGTTAATTGACAACCAGATAGTTAAAAGCACAAATTTTGGAAAAATTTCATTCTTCAGAATAAATCTTCATTTGTGAAAAACTTCAACTGGAAGTTTCCTTGAATGTCAAGTCTCTTATAAAAACTGAATTTTCAAGTAAATTTTAGACAATGGAGTAATGATTAAGTAAACCTCTATAACTGACAACAACTTCTAGTTAAAAATATGGAAAAACATAATAATTGTCTTTGTTTTCTTTGTTTTAAGGAAAGAATATTTCTTAACTTCTGATTGGTAATTGTCTCTGGTTTTTAGATGCTTGCTGAGCAAAAGACTCCCTAATTCCAAAATGAAGAAAGCTTTCCAAATCAGGACATTCTTTCTTTTATCTTGTAAGTATTCTTTCATGTTACAACTTAGATTCATTTGGGAAAAAAAAATATCACTAATGACTGCATTTAGAAAACAGAAAGCCAAAAGGAGGAGATATAAAATAAGAAACACGTCCTTATGACTTTGACATTCTTTGTCATGATAGTAAACAAATGATTTAGATAGGCACTAACTTGTATAATTTCTTTTTAATATAACAGATTCAGCGCAAGCAATTTTTCATTAAACAGATGTCTCCTTCCAAAACTAGGGAAGGTTTCCAGGTCAAACCCCTATAGTTTTTTTCTATTAATAAGATACCAACAAGTGATAAAGTGAGAGACTACAGATGCTCACAAATATTAATTCATAAATATCTATCTTCAGTCTGATGTATATTTTTCAAAGATTTGATAAAACAAACAAAAGATGGTCAACTATCTTCGGCCAAAGTAATCCCTGCTGACATTAAAATTTTTTTTATTAGAAAAATATAGAAAGGTACAAAATGAGCCAGTAAAACCCTCACTTTTATCATCTTAATACTCCCTGCATCACAGCCCTAAAAAAACATACTAGAGTTGGTTCTGGTTCTGATTTATTTCAGGAAAAAAAAATAACATTAAGGGTTTTAAGACAATGTGTTAAAGGTGAAACAGGCTCTCCACCTTTTCTTTAGGTTAGACTTGAGAAATACTGGTAAACACTATCACTGAGAGAGGAAATTAAAGAGTCACAGATTTGCAAGGAACTTACACAGTGGTTAAATGCTCAAGGTCATAGCAAGTCAGTGTAGGGCTGGGACTAAAATCTAAGTCTGTTTCTCAGAGCAGTATATCCCTCTGCCTCACAATAAACATGTTACCAATATAAACTGTATCAAAAAGTAAGGGAGGGGCTCCTGGGTGGCTCAGTCGTTAAGGGTCTGCCTTCAGCTCAGGTCATAATCCCAGGGTCCTGGGATCGAGCCCCATATTGGGCTCCCTGCTCAGTGGGAAGTCTGCTTCTCCCTCTCCCACTCCCCCTACTTGTGTTCCTTCTCTCGCTTTGTCTCTCTCTGTCAAATAAATAAATAAAATCTTTAAAAAAAAAAGTAAGGGAGACATTAAAAAGGTTTACTTTGTATAAGCATGATATCTGACTTTAGTTTTCTCCAGTAATTAATTATAAAGCATTACAGAATAATATTGATACCATTTATTACTTAGTATTGGCCTTAGAAAATGTGTTGTACCCGCTCCTTTTACTATTATCAAAAGTCAGAAAACCTTCACATTATGAACAACTGAGGATGTAAGAAGTTTAGGGTCTTACTTTGCCAACCACTGCAGATATTCTAAGTTCCTGTTATGTGATTAGAATCATCCTCGAAAAACGGAAGCTTTTTGTTGGTTTCATGACCTATTTTTCTCTCCCTTATTTATACTCTTTGGAATTTCTGAGATTCAACTCCAGAGCCCAAGTCTGGGTACACGACTGACCAGGTTTAGTCTGAGTCCAGGGCAAAAAACTAGTAAGAGTGAAGCTCATCACCAGCACGTCACTTGCCAAAAAGATACTGAACATTTTTCTTTGGAATAAATACTTTCTGAGAGATGTATATGAAATGCTGTCACTGTTAGAAGTCATACGGAATGAAGTATATAAAGTACTATAATTTAATGCTGCTTCCTCTGACAAAAAAAATAAAGAAGCCTGAGATGGGAGGAGGGAGCTAGAGGAAACACGATGATTTGCTCAGGGAACAATACTCTTTTTAAAATGTATATTTTAATATTATATTAATAAGTTATAATCTTCAATCTATTTTTTCTATCTACAATCACCTGCACCTTCATAGAGTTGTAATCAATATTAAAAATCCTAAAACAATCTTAAAATATTAAACCCTCAAACAGTATGGCATAGTGGCTAAGTACGTGAGCTCTGACACATGATTACCTAGGTGACCAACAAGTAACTATGGAACCTTGGGCAAGTTATTTGACTCTGTTTCAGTTTCCCTAATCTGTAAAATAAGAATAATAACAGTACCAACTTCATATGATTTTTGTAAAGATTAAATTAGAGGTACAGACCTTAGAACAGAGACTGGTACTTTGTAAACACTCAGTACATCTTAGCTATAATAATTATTATGACTTTTAATATATAGAGACATGCTGTTAACTCATGTTTAACCATTTTTTAAATGATTTTAATTACTCAGTAATTTTAGTTTGAGCTGGGTTTCATGTTAACTACAATATAAAATATTCTTTTTTTTCCCAACTAATTGATGCCCAAAGGTTAAAAAAAAAGACGAAGAACTAGTATATTTGTGCTCACAGAGTGTGACATGCTATCTTTTCTTCAAAATATTTCTTTAATGAAATATATTGGAATGAAAGATATATGGAAAAATTAAAAATATTATTTAAGGTGCTTTGTATTTTCTGTCTTAAATGTCCATTGTTTACTTTAGATACTCTCCATAACAGATCAAACAAGATCTTTAGGGCTCACAGAAATTTGGTTTTAGCCTGGGATGAGGTGGGGGGCAGGAAGGATGAGGTCCAATACTCTATGGAATGCGAGCTGAAAACTGGAAGGCTTATCTATACCCTAAAACTGAAGAGAAAAAATGCCAGACTGGTAGACTTATCTCCTACTTCTTATATTCTACTAATACCAACAAGTGTGAAGACTCATGCCATGATGTACACTTCATTAATGGGAAAGAGCAAAGCAAAAGTTCAAACCTACTGAAGGTCCTGGCTTTCCTCTCATCCCTGGTGGTCCTGGAACACCAACAGCACCCTAGAGGATGAGAATAATAGAGAACATGAAAGCTATTATACCACAAAAGGCAGCTATGCCTCTATATACAAACTGCTTAAAAAATTAATGGAGTGAATCTAAAAACTTTGAGAAAACCATTTCAAACAAGACATGTAAAACCATATTGATACCATATCCTAACAAACTACATGGTTAAAATAATCATACTCCTTTCTTTTTAAAGAATTTATACCTTTTCACTGAAATTTTGTATTTACATAAACTAAATGGAAAAAAAAAATTACCTTGTCTCCAGGATACCCTAGTTCTCCTGGCTCTCCTGTAACGCCTTGTTCACCCTAGAGGGCACAATTTCATACAAAGACACTTAAGTAACACAAACATGGCAATATTATAAGAAAGTAAAATTAATTATAGAAGAATAGTTTCTCTCTTTTTCCTACTTCTGATAAAAACTGTATATTTGACAGTATAGATTAGATCCCATATATAAAAACAAGATATTTTGTTGAATCACAGATCTGTACTTCTGAAACAAATAATGCAACCTATGTTAAGAAAAAAGAAAAAGAAGAAGATAGCAGGAGGGGAAGAATGAAGGGGAGTAAGTCAGAGGGGGAGACGAACCATGAGAGACGATGGACTCTGAAAAACAAGCTGAGGGTTCTAGAGGGGAGGGGGGTGGGGGGATGGGTTAGCCTGGTGATGGGTATTAAAGAGGGCACGTTCTGCGTGGAGCACTGGGTGTTATGCACAAACAATGAATCATGGAACACTACATCAAAAACTAATGATGCAATATATGGTGATTAACATAACAATAAAAAATTTTAAAAAAAAGAAATGCAACAGAAAAAAACACAAGATATTTTATAAGTTGTATTGACTAAAAAGAAAAAATAAATGTGATGAGAAATTATCTCTATGATAATGTAAATATTTAAATCACCTTATCACCTTTGATTCCAGGTAGGCCCTTATTCCCAGAAAGACCCTAAAAAAAAAGGGATATTTTGTGACATCGTAGAGAAATTAAAGGGAAATATCCATTATGCAAATAGAGACATACCATTGGGCCAGGAGTTCCAGAAGGTCCGAATGGTCCAATAGGGCCAATATCGCCCTGAAAAGCAATTAAACAGAAAGGCATCATTAAGCATCCACTAGGATTGGAAAGAGAATATGGTAAAATTAATTAACTAACCCCGAACAGTTCATCTCACTAAGCTCCCACATGTGCCTTGTTCTTCCACAGCTTCTTTTCCTCTCCACGTTAATAAATTATACCAATGTTTGAAACTTTAGTGAGGTCATCCTACTCCCTGAAGCTATCCATACCAGTCTAGTCACAAGGATCCTCCCCTTCCTTTAGTTCGTATAATGCTTAACTGTCCATGATATTCATCTTGAAATATTTCTCTAACTAGATAATATCTTGAAGATAAGGGAAATATTTTTTCCTTTCCTATTAAGTGCCCCATTCCCAGGAGGTATTCAATAAACACTTCATTTGATCATCTTATATTTTTATTTCACCCATTTATTCAGGAATTATTTATTGGGCACTTACTATGCTCCACGCATTCCAGTTATTTTATTTCGTGATTTGAAATTTGTAAATGATAAAATTTACCATAATTTCAGGGATAAGCTGAGTACTGAACAAAAGACTCTACTCTTCTGGGCTTCTGTCAGTCATACATCGTTTAACATTTGTTGAACATAACATGTACACAGACACTGTAGTTGTGTGGAGGAAATAAAGATGAAAAAGACACAGTCACCAACATCAAGGTTCTCAGTTTAATGCTCCAATGCAAGATTCCTCAAAAATGTAACAACCTATCATCTCCAGCAAGCAAGTGATTTAAAAAAACTCCTCAAATATATCATCTTAGAAGACAAAGGACAATAGCCACAATAAGGGTATTTCAAAGTAAAATTTGAAAAAAAAAAATGGCTTGGGGATCACTTACAATTTTCCTGCCACTGACACCTTCATTTTCCTTCTTTCTCTTGCTACCTCTCTGTGCCTAGCTTCTGTATCATCCTTCATCTTCAAAGAACAAGTTGGCTTAAACCTCCCTTTTATGGTTTTCAAATGTTAAGGAACTTCTAAAGGTGTATTTGTGGCAATGCTAAAAATGTTGCCCCTTTTACCAAATTGCTTAGGAAAGCATCCCAGGTTTGCACCAACCCTTCCCATCTTGTCTACTTCCATTTGTCCCTACTCCTCCTTTACTTCTCCCTCCTCCAAATCCCACATTCTAGCCACAATGGACTGTTTTCCATTCTCTGAACATGCTCTCTCTTTATCACATGCTCCAAGCCTTCAAAGATATGGTTACCAATACTGGAATGGCTTTCGACTGCACTCATGAGTATACTGTACTATACTCCCCCCTGTGTTCCTAGTCCACACATTCTGTGAAAGCAGAAGCGAGTTTATTGATATTTTACTTTCCAGACCCAACGTAGTAATTGGCACATAATTGTTTTGAAATAAAGTATGGAATGAATACTGAAGGACCTATCAGAATAGCCAAAAACAAAAAGACAAGAAATAACTAGTGGTGGGGATGTGGAGAAAAAGGAAGCCTTGCGCACACTGGTGGAAATGCAAATTGGTGGAGCCATTGTGGAAACCAATATGGACATTCTTCAAAAAATTAAACGTAGAATTACCATATGACTCAGTAATTCCACTACTGACATTTACCCAAAGAAAAGGAAAACACTAATTCGAAAAGATATATGGACCCTATGTTTATTGCAGCATTACTTTCAACAGCCAAGACATGAAAGCAACTCAAATGTCCATCCATAGACGAATGGATGAAGAAGATGTAGTATACAAACACACACACACACACACACACACAGAGGAGTATTACTCAGCCATAAAAAAGACTGATATTACTCAGCCATAAAGAAGACACGCACGTGCACACACACACACACGCACACACATACACACACACACAGGAATATTACTCAGCCATAAAAAAGACTGTAGTTTCTTGCCACTCGAAACAACATGGATGGACCTAGAGGTTAAAATGCTAAGTGAAATAAACAGAGAAAGACAATTACCATATGATTTCACTCATATGTGCAATTTAAAAAACATGTGCAACTTAAAAAACAAAATAAATGAACAAAGAAAAAAGGCAAACAAACAAAAAACCAGACTCTTAATTAATTAAGACTCTTAATGCGGAGAACAAACTGGTAGCTGCTAGAGGGGAGGTTAGTGGTGGGACGGCTGAAATCGATGAAGGGGATTAAGAGCACACTTACCATAACAAGCACTGATTGATGTACAGAATTATTGAATGATTATACTGTACATTTGAAACTGATATAACACTATGTTAATTGTGCTTCAGTAAAAAAAAATTTTTTTAAACAGTGATTTCAAGAACTCTATCTCCCAACATAACAGAGCATTGCTAATAGTTTACACTCATATAATACAAATTTCAGAATGGAAAATATGACATCTTTACTTTTGCGTGAGTCCTAAAGTCTGTGAAATATAACTGAGATAAATTATTTCCAATACGTTTAATCCTGAAATATGTGAGACTGTGAGAGGGAAGAGTAATATTTTCCAACTTAAAACATATATGCAATATTCATATATCACTGACAAATTCTATCAGTAGGAAACAATTGTTCTTATAATTACAGTGGCTAGTTTATTCAGAGTTCATAGCTTAAAAATAATGAGAGTTTCAAAAAATACAATAAACATTTCTGCTTGGAAATTATGCAGCAATAATCTATGTAAGTATGGAAGACTCTGAAAAACAAACTGGGGGTTCTAGAGGGGAAGGGGTGGGGGGATGGGTTAGCCTGGTGATGGGTATTAAAGAGGGCACGTTCTGCGTGGAGCACTGGGTGTTATACGCAAACAGTGAATCATGGAGCACTGCATCAAAAACTAATGATATAATGTATGGTGATTAACATAACATAATAAAAAAACAATAAAAAAATCTTATAAACATAAACAAACATTTCTTTGTCATCCTGTTGGTTTTTTTCTATAGGCAATAATATTAACTTTGTTTCAGTAAATATATCACTGTGCATAGACTAATATCTTCAGATGAATGTACTTTGCACAATCTACTGTTTTACTTTTTTAGTGACTCAAAAAGAATTAACACAAAATAGTAAGTGTTGAGAGATATCAAAGATGTAAAAGATTATAGTAAAGATATAAAAGATTTAGGGATGCCTGGGTGGCTCAGTCAGTTAAGCGTCTGCTTTCAGCTCAGGTCATGATCCCAGGGTCCTGGGATCAAGCCCCGCATCGGGCTCTTTGCTCAGCGTGGAGCCTGCTTCTCCCTCTGCCTATGCTGCTCCCCCTGCTTGTGCTCTCTCTCTCACTGTCAAATAAATAAATAAAATCTTTAAAAAAATATATACATATATAAGATTTAGTAAAATAGGGAACTGAAAAGTAAAATAGTATGGGTATAGGAAGCTCCAAGAAATAGCAAACATTTTGTGGTATGTTACAAATGGTGTGGAAAATCCTAGTCCTGAAGAACTATAGCTTTCTCAAAGCAACCTGCAATAGGCTAACAGCAGTTTTCAGTTCCACAGGATAATGTGAAAGTCTTCAGAACTCTCTGCTTACCATACTCCTCTTCCCTGAGAAGACAGAGCAGACAGGAGAAACACTTCCCTGCGTGGCAGCTTAGCTGAGGGTGTCTGGGATACAGCACCAAAGGCAGAAGAGCCTCCCACACATCCAGAAATAATAAAGAACTTTCAAGTCAAAGTGAATCAAAGAAACAGAGATTCAAGGATGGGTTCTTCATATAAAACGAGCAGCCGCTAGCCAATTAGAGCTCATACAAGTGAGCACGCTGTAGAGAAGACTGTGCGCTCTTCTTCAGGCTTTCCAGCCACATCCACTCACACTCACAGATAATAATCACTATCACTAATTAAGAAAGCAAATGACAATCAGCTGCAAGGAAAAAGTCATTTAGAGAAAGCTGTATCATCTCTTGTCAGAAACTATACTTCCTATAAGGGAACAGGCAGATGTGTGCTTGCGGATAAACTGGGCAAGCAGTTTACTATGTTTACTATGAAATATAAAGGTTCTATATAAATCTTTCACAATTATCTTCAAAACCTCACCTCCTTCCACTTCCATCCCCCCATACTTCCTAGGCTACAATCCCCCTATTCCTCTTCCCCTTGCCCAAACATCACCTTTTTTTCAACTCTTCCGTGCATTTAAAGAGGCATTCTTCTGCCTAAAGAGCGCTTTTCCTGTCTACTCCACTCCACTCACGCATAATCTTCAAGATATAATTAAAACACATCTGTTTTGTGAAGCCTCCTCTCTCAAGATAGCATAAATTGTTCCTTTCTCAGTGGTTTTTAGTCCATTAGAGCAGTGATCACATCGTATGATATACCTATTTTTCCTTCTATGCCATTGGATTATAATGTTGCCAAAAAACAGAAATCTTGTTTGTATTTTTAGGCCTAGCTCTAGTTCAGCATTTGATACACAGTAGGTACTCACACTGTTTTGATTTAAAAATTTAGAAATGTAAAATGGAGATTGTAATACCTATTCTATCTACTTGAGGAACAAATGAGATATGTGTGTGAAAGTACTCTGAAAAGTATAAAGTACTATCAAATCAATGTAGAGATGAGGATTACAAAGATGACTGTTAGTATCATTCGCCATTTTCTTTTCTGTAGAATCTCTTCCCAGCAACCAAAGGGTAAATTGAGAAAGAGAAAGGACAAAAAACAAAAACAAAACAACAACAACAACAACAAAAACCCAGTTATTTTTACTAAGCACTTTTATGTGGTGGTACTGTGCGAAGTCCTGGAGTTGAAAAATGAGTAAGAGTTAACTGTTAGGTAGAAAAGTACAGGTAAAGTGTTTCAGGTAGACAACTTAGTTCAAGTGCAAAGCCATATCGTAGGAAGGCTGCATGGCACCTGAGAATAAACAGTTTTGCTAGTGCACAAAGTATGTCTCAAGATCCAGTGAGAACCAAAACAGTCTAGACATGCTAAGAAATTTGGTCTTAAACTTGAGCATGATAGCAGAAGCTGCTGAGTTAACCAACTGAGAGGTTAAATGAAGAATGCATAAAGACTATCTTTGGAATCCAGCTCCCTTCCCCAGCTTCCTTTCTACCCCATTGGTAAGGCCATGACTACCACCTACAGGTTTAATCCTATTCTAAGTTCTGAGAAAAAACAAATTGGCCCTTTGGGTTCCACCTTCAAACAGAGCTTCTCATGAAGCCTAAAGAAATCTCATAAGATAAATGGTATACATTTTAAGGTAATATAAGTTTTAAGGAGATGGTATAGCACACTGGTAGAATTTTGGGCTCTGGTTTAGATCACCTGGCTTCAAATCTGGGCCTAACACTCATAAAGTGAGTGCTCTTGGCTTGTTCTGAGAATTAAATGACCTAGTACTGACTAGCACATGGAAAATACTAAATAAAAGTGAGCTGTTACTGGGGTGCCTGGGTGGCTCAGTTGGTTAAGCATCCGACTCTTAGTTTTGGCTCAGGTCATGATCTTAGGATCATGAGATCAAGCCCTGCTCTGAGCCCAGCATTGGGCTCTGCGCTCAGCAAGCAGTCTGCTTGAGTTTCTCTTCCTCTGCCCCTTCCCCATGCTCTCTCTCTCCCTAAAAAATAAGTAAATCTCTTCTTAAAAAAAGTGAGCTGTTAATGCTAATTTTAATATTAGTATACTAATATTATCATGTAAAAGAAAAGTTTAAATGTCTTAGACTCACTCAGGTTCTCTGACCATTAATTCTATATTCTTGCCAGCCCCAAATGGCAAGTTAAAACTTGTTATACTGATTTTCACCATAGTTCCAATAACTGAACTCCTGATGTATTCCTTTGGTCAAGTTGTCACCTTCTGCCTTGGGGCAGTTAAGGTGGGGGGAAAAACATTAAATTTAGATTCAAAAGACCTGTGTTCAAATTCAGGCTAAAAATAATTGTGGCTGTAATTTATGGCATAAAACTCTGGAGTCTTAAGTACCTACTTCATGTGTAACGAGCAAGCTCTAAATTGATTTTTAGGGAAAATCTTACCTCTGCCCATGGTCATTTCCTATTTTTATATGGATATACATATAATTTTAGGATTCTATTTTCATTAGGCTCCTTACATTTTGTAAAAGTATGTGAATCTTGCCTTTGGCTCAGCTGACTGTTAAAGCACATGGCTCTTAAATTTATATAAAATATCTGCAACTTACATCCCTATCATGAACCATAAGCTTGACTGAGAGAATATATTTATGAAGATATGGCAGAAGTAGCAGTCTGTTTGCCTCAATGAATATTCTAAAATTTATCAGATCACTACATATCTGGAGTAGATTTTTTTGGTCTCCACAGAATTGCTTTTACTAAATTGTACTTTGCCTACATTAGAAACTCCAGTGAAACTCAGGGTTAAATTCACTGAATAAAAGTGATTAAGTGGACAAATAATACAATCACTTATATTTTTAGTATAATAAATTAGGTATTAAAATGTTAGCAGCAGGGTGCCTGGGTGGCTCAGGGCTCAGGTCATGATCTTGGGGTCCTGGGATAAAGCCTCGTGTTGTTAGGCTCCCTGCTCAGTGGAGAGTCTGCTACTCCCTCTCCCTCGCCCTCTGCCCCTCCCCCCTGCTCGTGCACACTTTCTCTCTCTATTTCAAATAAATACATTTAAAAAATCTTAAAAAAATGTTTAGCAGAATTAGTGAAGTGCAACTACTACCTATTGTTCAGGATGTTTCCCAACCACTTATTCAATTTTATTCTAGAAATAAAATCTACAGTTACCATGTGCTATAAAATGGTATGGTATGATATTTAGACCTATCTTTATCTATCCAGGCCACATGGTATGAAAGAATATTTCAAAGGAGAGAAGTGGCTGTTCTATGTCATACTTTTGAAGAAACAGTCTTAGGTATCTATTAATGAGACAGACATAAATACATATGTACACATAAATCTGTAGAAGTTTGTTATTTTAGGTTATCATAAAATTTATTTTTTTGATTCATACTCCTGGTCTAATTTGCGTATCTGGTGGGAAAATACATTTGAGCAAGTCTGATATCCAACAATGATGCTAAAACATCTCATTTTTCTAAAGATTTTAAAGTGCATCTAACAAATATAAACACAATATTTTGTAAGAATGATAATACTTGATACTCACTCTAAGCCCAGGAAATCCTGGAGGACCAATGCTACCTACAAGTCCCTACATAAAAGAAAAGTACAGAGTTGGTTAAATACAATTGCAAACTACTAAGGGCATTTTTTAAAGACAAAGACAAATATTTCTAGAAAAAAAATATGTCAAATTTTACCCTCATGCATCCTCCTAAGAAGTGTAAATCTCTGGTGGCAGTTTAAGTTCTCAAAAATGCCCCTGGCTCCATGCTTTTGGATGCCAGGACTACCACCTAGCCTAGGATATAGATTGTTCTGTGTCTTTTATATATCTAATAAAGAAAGTAAATCCTATAAGTAGTCAGCATTATAGACATAACCAACCTATGTATTATATAATAAGATAAGTTGTCAGTATATAGAGTTAGAAGAGTGTTTTCAGATGGTTTAAAACACTACCCACTCTCGAAGTATAATATTTAAAGTCTCTAAACTTCAGTTTTCTCATTATAAAATAGGAATAATAACATTTGGGGATGCCTGGGTGGCTCAGTCAGCTAAAGTGTCCAACTTTTGATCTCGGCTCAAGTCTTGATCTCAAGGTTGTGAGTTCAAGCCCCCATGTTGGGCTCCACAGTGGGCCTGGAGTCTACTTAAAAAAATAAAGGAATAATAACACTTGTTCTCACTGATGTAAAGATCACAATGAAAACTGTTATAATGTACAAAAGGTTTTGAAAAATTTCTCACAAATGTAAGAAATTACCAATATCATTAATTATATATATAATAAATGAGATTTTAAATTATCAATATTAATTTTTCCACTTGATTTGTGATGGTCTTTTGAACCTGTCATTATAGTCTTTATGATAATCCCTAATCCACTCCGTGGCAGTGTCACATGATACAAAATACAAGAATGCCCCCCCTTTTTTGTATTTCAAGTTCTGTTTTGAAAATAAGGTACAGTAAAAAATGTAGAGAATTATAAGCCAATAAACTAAAACAGCCAGTCTATTATTATATTTTAAAGATAGTAAAGCCTGAAAATGCTCTTCAAGAAGCATTATATTTAAATAAAGAGCATATTTCAAAAAGAAATATTTTAAACCCTAACAAACTTCATGTATATTTAACTGACAAAGAATTAAATGAGATGGCTTCACAGTAGTTATGCAAGTACATAAGTGGTATCAAAGGAAAAAGTAAATAATGCTTACTTTTTACTCTTGAAACACTCTTGTCCCAGAATCAAGGGCAAAAAAACTATGGTAAACATTCTACTTAAAACATCATTCAGGTTTTTAACGATTTATTCGGAAATCAGTTCTACTCTTATCTGCCAAGACTTACAACAAATAAAACTTTGGCTAAATTAACTGAATAACTAATAAAGTCATAATTTAGAAAAATAAATTAAAAAGAAACTATTTTCTAACACTTTTAAGTATAAATGCTAGTAATTTACCTATACCTAAATATAGGAACTACTCCTAATTTAGGCTATAAGGATTTAGTGATTGACTCTAATTCACCTTAAAATCTTATTAAAAGAACGTGTGCATGGAATAGATTGGAGAGAGCTGATAGATGTTTATTGAGAGCAAAAAAAAAAAAAAAATGAAGATTTTTCTACCTAATGTCAAAAAAACAACAATCATCATCATTCTTTGATAATATAATTAAACTAATTATAGAATAGTAACTCCCTAATCTCTGAAAATAATAGCTGAATAATCCCAAAGTAGAAGACTTCTCTAGAAATAAATACCCAAAAGTCAGGTAAATCAATGACAGGCTTGAGTCAAAAAGAGCAGTCAATGAGCGCACAATTTTTACATGAGGCTTTTGCTAGTACATTCATGTACATGAAAGGCTTCCCCCTCATCCCAAAAATGTACAAGTCAGTGTTATGATCGTATATTTCTAAAATTTCATTTAGGTAGGTACATTTAACATGGTCACAACGATTTATTTTAATGATTATCTCCCGAGACAGAATTGACTCAGAACATTTTTGTCTTTACAAATTGGAATGTGCACAGAAGTCTCAAAACTGTCTGGTTGATCGTGCTTATTTGAATGTCATAATGAGGACAGCTACTGCAGGTGCTGTGATGTCTGAGAGGCGCCAGATCGCAAGGCTGGACCATCACAACGTACTCACAGGACTGCCATCAGGGCCAGCAGGGCCTCTGTCTCCAAAGTCACCCGGAAAACCCTGGCCCAGGGAAAAAAGAAGAAATGCTATTAAAACCAACACAGATAAAGAATTCACTTTTGTTGTGTTTTCTGATAAGGAACTGATTAATAGGAAATATTTATTTCCTAACCTCTAAATTGTAGTGCAACAAAAACTTGTATTTGTTTCGTATAACACTTCATTGATTTTGTTCAGTACAATATTTCTGTGTTTTACAAATATTATTTTATATGCCAAATAACATACACAGAAAGCGAAGTTGGAGAAAATATACATTTGTTCAGCACTATATAAAGAGTCACTGAATGACAGAAAACATAACAAAGATTTCTGCCTGACCAATCCATTAGTTATCTCCGTGATTTCATGCCGTTCCTAAACCCGCATCACAAAGAATGAAATGGCTAATATTATTTAAGCATGTATTTAGCACATTTTCCATGTGTTAAGGGCTTTAAACACTTTATTATATATATATACTACTTCTTTTTATCTTCATAACAAGTCGAGTCAATGAATAGTAATATCCTCACTTTGCAGTTGAGAAAACTGAAGCACAGAGAGCTTAAGTCACTTGCACTCACCAGTCATGAGTGGGACTAAGATTTGAATGAAGGAAGTCTGAATGCAGAGTCAGTGCTCTTTCTCCTCATCTACACTGAATATTTTAGCTCATCATTTCAAGATATGATAAACATGTAACAAATATCATTTAAGTACTATGTTATTGGGGAAAGCCATAATGCACAAAAATCCTGCAACCACAAAATACAGTGACACTGAAAATCAAGTTTCCCAAACGCCTACTGAGGATTCTACACTGTAAAACTATGAAGGATAGTAAGTAACATACTTTCTTAATATATATTGTTTTGTAAAATAACTCAATGACTCACTTTTACTTTATATACTAAAATTCTTCCCTAAAGATGAGCCACTAGATTTATCAACTTTAAAGCTCACTTTTTAAAAGCTACTTTGCAAAATGGTTTATAAGATTTATTATTAACATTTTAAATAATATCCCCTTTTAAAATTTTTTAAGACTAACAGAAATAAAAGTACATTATTAGAGTCTTCTAATCTCTTTATTTAGGCAAACCAATTATTAAATACATATTTAATAGATTGCCAAAAAGCACTGGTTCACTAGCACAAACATGAATGGGCAAAACTTAAAAGATAATTTAAGCAATGGAAAAAAAGGATGATGTTTCTAAGGCGTAGTTAACTCATACTAGAAGCAGTTTTTCTTATTCTGTAATCAGAGGATAATGCAAAAACCATCTGTGTAGTCAAACATATTGTAGCCATACCCCCTTCAAAGTCAGTTGAAGTTCAGGCAGGCGTTTTGCTTTCATTGTCCTTGGAAGTCAAATTCTGTTGTCAACAAGTTCACATGCCTGCAATACATCATACTATTCGGTATGAGCTAATAAGGGTATTTCAAAATATTTATGATGTACAGGTAATGGAAAAAGTGGAGGAAAATTCTGCAATAAATCTGAAACATAAGAGATGATTGATTTTTTAGATAGATCATAAGTAGGTTTTCCAAAAAGTTCAGTGAAATAATAAAGACTGAGGTACATATTGCAGGATTCCATTAATGTAAAATGTCCAGAACAGGCAAATCCAGAGACATAGAAAACAGATTAATGGCTGCCTCGGGCTGGTGCTGCAGGGAGAATGGGGCAGTGACTGTTAATGGGCACAGGGCTTCTATCTGGGTGAAGAAAATGTTCTAAAATTAGTGTGACAGATACACAATTCTGTCAATATAATAATAACCACTGAACTGTACATTTTAAAAGGGTGAATTTTATGGTATGTGAATGAGATTGCAACAGTTTTTCTTAAAAAAATGAAGACACAATCAATCTGAACAAGGAGCAGAGAGGGACTACTGCAAACATCCTTGGGGACTCACTCAGGATTGCCTAGATGTGCTATTTGGGACTGAGTGGCCCCATCCTCATCCAGTAGGAGGAGCTGCTCTCCAGTTCAGCTTTCCATAAAATTAGTGATTTCTACCCCCACCCCCACCCCCACCCCAGGAAGGGAAGGGGAGAGAACTATGATCAGTTCTTCACTTATGACAAAACCTGCACTAGCATAATAAATAATAAAATACTTATTAATTTCAACGTCCTATTCTTCTGATAGTTCAACATTATAATAAATATTAGCTGTTCAACTTGACTTTGTCCCTGAAACAATTTAGTTAAACTGAGTAATACCTACTTTTAAATTTTTTATGTATTATTTCTCCTCTCACTTTACTACCCATTAAATATTTAATTTCATTCTTAATTCTCTAGTCTAGACGGATCATTTGTTTTATTATTTTTTATCCTTCCTATATGTTGACCACTGTGTCATCAATTTCTGAAATAATTCCTATTAAATCTAGACATACTTTCCTGTGTAATGAAATATAGCACAGCTCATGCCACAAAAAAACAGCATTATATTTGGCTATATACTGGACATATATTTTCTTTTATTTTTTTAAATTTAATTTAATTTTATTTTATTATGTGATGTTAGCCACCATACAGTACATCATTAGTTTATGATGTAGTGTTCCATGATTCATTATTTTCATATACTTTCTTTTAAAAAGCATCATGCCAATGTCTTATGTTGTTGAATAAGTCATGTGCTCGCTGTTTATCAGTTGTTATTTCATTTCTAGTAATTACATGCATGATTTTTTTAAATGCAGGAGAGGTTCTGTATTCCTTTAATTAGGAGCCAAATGGTTTGCAGCCACAAATCTCCATTGTCAAAAACTGATCTTAAAAGATTGGTTGTTCTCCCCCCCATTAGAGACGATGGACTCTGAAAAACAAACTGAGGGTTCTAGAGGGGAGGGGCGTGGGGGGATGGGTTAGCCTGGTGATGGGTATTAAAGAGGGCACATTCTGCGTGGAGCACTGGGTGTTATGCACAAACAATGAATCATGGAACACTACATCAAAAGCTAATGATGTAATGTATGGTGGTTAACATAACAATAAAAAATTATTTAAAAAAAAAAGATTGGTTGTGAAACATGGAACAATAGTGACAAAACACTTTGCCTTTGAAATTAGAATACAAAAGATAGCTTCTACAGTTTCTCCATTTGAAAGAATTTGTTATAAAATAAAATACAATATTTTCTCTCACATTTACCTAGTGGAAAATTATAACCACTAATTTAAATCAAATTGTGCTTTCCTAGGAATGCCTTTACACTGCCAATGGATTTAATAGCCATTTTCCAGGGGTATCATCCATAGGGAAGCTTGAGTTTTTGCCTTTCTTGCCCAATTTGCCAATTTCACCAATGTAATAACTGTTTACTAATGGGCAAGCCAGAGTTGCACTGCTTCTTCTGTGTTGTGCATAATTTTCTTTCTTACATTTTAATCATTTTGATGAGTTATAAAATTTTATCTTATGAAGAATATGACATTTCAGGGATTTCACTCGATCTCTTGCAGTCGTGAATAATATTCTTGCTCACTTCCACTGTTGGATCAGTAACAGTGGACAGACTTTAAGGTGACCTCCTATGATTCTGACCTCCTGCTATTCTCGCTTTTGTGTGACACCCACCCTGTGAGTGAGAGTGGGACTATGATTTGCTTATTCTAACAAACAGAATATAGCACAGGTGATGGGATGTCACTGATATGATTACGTTATAGCATATAAGACTCCATCTCCCACATGACAGGGAATTGTGAGTGATCTCTAGGAAATGTGGACAGTCCATAGGACTTAAGGGTGGTCTATAGCCAAGAGCCAGCAAAAAGCCCAGGGCATTTAATTCTACAGCCTTGAATAAATGATATCTTCTCACAACCTGAATGAAGCTGGAAGTGAACTCTTCCCAAGCCAAGCCTCCAGATGATCGTGCAGCCAGCTGACACTTACGCTGACTGCAGCCTTGTGACCCTGAGCAGAAGACCCAGTTAAGTAGTACCTGGACTCCCAACCCAGGAGAACTGTGAGAAAATAAATGGGTGTTGTTGTGAGCCACTAAGTTTGTGGTATTTGTTATGCAGTGATAGAAAACTAGTAAAATTGGTAATTAAATCTTTAAGTAGAGATTGTGTAAAGTCCTATTTGCAAATTTTACTAAGTGGTAATGTTTAATATAAAACTACTTACATTGTTTCTAGATTTTAAAAATTTAAATAGATCACCTCTCTGAAGACTTTCTATGGATTTTTTTTTATTTTCTATTGCAAATTATAATTACTATCAATATTAGTTAAATTAAAATTTTATATTTACTTAAAATTTTTAAAATTTAATCTAGTATCTATATTTTAAAAACTTCATCATTTTAGCATTTCATATTCATCTAATTGCTAATGCAAAATTCATGCTTCATGAATTTTGTATTTAGAGTTATGAAATGCAAATTTAGGAGTAATATAAACTGCTTAATAATGCAAAATATTTCAGTCTCTAGGTGCAGCCTTTGAAAAGACTGCACTAGTTCTATTACCTCTGAAACCATAAATCATAACACAAAAAGAAGGAAGAAAATAGAAGTCTGCCTTATCGGGAAACAGTACTTCTTTGTACAGGATTCTATTGCATTCATACTGAAAGGAGAATTAGAGAAGTTAATTAATTCATCTTTGCTCTTACCTGCTTCTACTTCCTGCCTAAATCTCACCACAATCTTGAGTAGTTTCTGTCTCTAATTTTGGCAGTTGTACCACCTACAAAGCTTCATAGCATTCAGACATGAGATTATAGGCCACAGATATTGAGAAGAATTTCTCTGAGGCCTGAAGACATTAAATTGTGATAGCCAGTCTCAAAGATGGACCCCCATGGTTCTCACTTTCTGATATGAATGCCTTTGTGTAATCCCCTCCCATTTTGAATCATGGTCGGCCTATGTGACCAAAAGAATATACTTTGGAGGTTAGGTCATAAAAGGCACTACACCTTCTACCTTGCTGTCATGGACCACTTCATTCTGGTGCAAACCAACAACCATGTCCTGA